ATGACTTGTCTTTGGTGAATATATTTGAATATTCCTGATCACCTTCCTCTCCTCCAAGTGTTTCAAAATGGATTCCTTAAGTACTTGTTCCATGATATTTCCAGGGACAGAGGTGAGGCTGACCCGTCTGTTAATTGTAGGCATCTTCCCTTTTTAAAAAATGGGCACTATATTTGCCTTTTCCAGTCGTCCAGGACCTCCCCCGATTGCCAGGAGGTTTCAAAGATAATGGCCAATGGCTCTGCAATCACATCAGCCAGTTCAGCACCCTCAGATGCAGTGGGTCCAGCCCCAGGGATTTGTGTATATTCAGTTTGTCTAAATAGTCCTTAACCTATTCTTTTACCACTGAGGGCAGCTCATCTCTTTCCCATACTATGCTGCTTGCAAAATTTTGGAGAGCTGACCTTGTCAGTGAAGACCGAGGCAAAAAAAAAAAAAAAAAAAAAAAACCACCACATTGAGTACTTCAGCTTTTTCCATCTCATCTGTCACTGGGCTGCCTTCCCATTCAGTAAGAGTCCCACAGTTTCCCTGACCTTCTTCTTATAGCTAACATACATGTAGATACCCATCATCTTATCCTTCCCATCCCTTGCTAGCTGCACTTCCAGTTGTGCTTTGACCTTCCTGATTACACCCCTGCACGATTGAGCAATATTTTTATACTCCTCCCTAGTCATCTGTCAAAGTTTCCACTTCTCACAAGTTTCCTTTTTGTGTATAAGCTCACCAGATATTTCTCTGTTAAGCCAAGCTGGTCACCTGCCGTATTTGCTATTCCTACTGCAAATGGGATGGCTTGTTCCTGCACCTTTAATACGTCTTCTTTAAAATACTGCCAGCTCTCTGGGACAGATTTCCTTCTTCCAGGGAATCCTACCCATCAATTCCCAGAGGGTATACTTACACTTCCCCCCCTTGTTCGAACTAAGGTGGCTAATGTAGGCATTCGAACTTGCATATGAAGCCTGGGATTTAAATATCCCGGGCTTCATTTGCATGTTCCCGGGCGCCGCTATTTTTAAATGCCCCGTAGTTCGAACTACCTGCCCATGGCTACACATGGCACGGACTAGGTAGTTCGAATTAAAGCTCCTAATTTGAACTACCATTATTTTCTCCTGCCTGTCCTTCCAGAACAGTTTATACCATAGGTTCCCAAACTGGGGTGTGTGAAGAAATTCCGGGGGGGTGAGGTGGGGTGCACAATGTGACCCAGCTCCCTCCCCCCCCAATCAATCTCACCCCAAGAAAGAGCCCAATCTGTCCGGTAAAAAAATTCAGAAAATACCATGTGAAATATCTGGTATTTTCTGTTTTTCGGGAGTCTGCCGGAACACACGCAGCTTGGGCTGGCTGGGGTGGAGGGGAGGATGGAGCATCCCGGGCAGACTTCAAAATGGCTGCCTTAAAAGGGCAATGCCTGCTCTGCTCTTTTCCCCTGGAGTCCTGGCACCTTTTTTTACAATGGTCCCAGGAATTAAAGGGGCTCCAGTCAGTTCCTTTTTTTTTTCTCAACAAGTTTTGCTGCTATATTTTTTGGAGGAGGTGAAGGGTTTCTCAAAAATCAAAAAGGGGGCATGATGCCGAAAAGTTTGGGAACCACTGGTTTATACCCTACCATGATAGTACTCCAGTCATGTGTGTCATCCACCAAGTTGCCATTATTCCAATCAAATCATAGTTCTTTGGCTTTTCCAGGACTTTTAATTCTTCCTGCTTGTTTCTCAGGCTTCTTGTGTTCATATGCAGACACCTTAGATAACGAGCCAGTTGCCCTACTTTCTTAGTATGAGTCAGGTCCTCCTCTGTTGCACCTTCCTCTTTGTGTTACTTCCCGCTTCCCCACTTAACTCAGGGCTTAAGTCACCATCTCCAAGTGAACCTAGTTTAAAGCCTTCCTCTCAAGGTTAGCAAATCTGCCTATGAAAATGCTCTTTCTTCTTTTCGTTAGGTGGATTCCATCTCATCCTTTAAAAAAAAATGAGGAGTCCTATGGCACCGTAAAGACTAACAAATTTATCAACAAATGAAGGCTTATGCACAAATAAATCTGTTTAGTCTTCAAGGTAACACAGGACTCCTTGTTGTTTTTGCAGACACACACTATCACAGCTACCCCTCTCATAAAAATCCTTCTTCCTAGAACAACATGCCATGGTTGAAGAATCCAAAGCTCTATCTCCGACACCACTTGCACAAAAACGCAGTAGAGATTTTTGTGGTCAGAAGCGGGTCACACAGCAATGATGTTTGAGAATCCTGGATCTATTTCATGTGACATAAGTGGCCCCCCAATAATGGATTGTTCTGCTTTTCATCGTAGCATTTGGTTCCTGCCGTGTAAATAGCAAACAATCATTGACAATAACCATCACAAAATATTGATTTAAAAAACAAGATATGTATAACAGATGCAATGATTTCCTTGAAAACTGAAGCTATTCATAAATGAGGCACCCTTTGCTTTCCATCCAGCAAAATTTTGCAAGTTTCTCTGATTAATACTACATATTTATTTTACTTTCCCGAGTTTCCCAAATGACATCCATTAATCTATTTGTCAACACATTAATTGCTATTATCTTACCAAAGCTATTGTGTTCTACTGCCTCTCTGCTTTGGAGCCTTCAGTTTTCATTCTGAAAACCAGGACACAAATGGTTTGTTAACACAAACAGTTTATATGCAAAGACTATTAGGAAGGGAGATGGCCAAAACAGAATGAAGAGATGTTTTGTAAGGTGATAGCTAATATCGGCCACAGTGGCAAAGTTCCAAGAGAAGCTTAAGAAAGGAAACGAGAGAGCAATAACGTGTTTAGGCAGTCCATGATTGTCCAGCATGCTCATTTTTAAGGCAGCCATTATATGGCATGATTCATACTCTTGCCATTTGTCTGTCCTGTACAAGTCTTGCTGAGACCCTGCCTCGGCAATGCATTCCCTATTTCAGACCAGTCTTGAGAACTTTTACAAACAAAGAGCCTGGACAGATGAGATTTAGTAAAGAAGAGAAAGATTTGAAGAGGAGGGTATTTGTGATGGGACACGGCAGTGAGGGATTTATGCACAAGTTAAGTAAACTACTATTTAGGGCCTCAGATTATGAGAGGCCTCTAAATACAAAACTACTAGTCTTTAGTTGCATCCTCCCATATGTACTGGTATACATGCAAATATAAAACTTTATTATGTCTATTTTCATTTTTCTTTTGGTTAGAATCATACTCATCTTTGGTAATGCTATGGGGGCCTCTTAAACTTGTCATAGTTTAGGGCCTCAGTATGTCTTAATCTGGCCCTGGGACTGGGCCACAAGTAGACACTTTCCAATTGTAGAGTCACAGAAATAAGAGATGAGGCAGAGCCACTAAATTAACTCGTCCATCCCCCAAGACAAGATACTCTTCTCAGAGTCTCTTCTTCATGCTTATTCCCTAAGCTTCATTTTCTAGTGATTCATCCAATTCTAAATGCCTCTGGCAACAGAGATCCTGGGACTGTCTATCAGTCAGTGGCCACTGCCTTGGACTAAGAATCCTTAGTCTAGTCCTATGGGCTCCAGTTTGGAAAGCTGCTGAGTGTATCAGCTCTTATTGACTTCCTTGGAATTAAGTGCACCCAACACCATTCGGGAGGCATTCTATAGCCTGTAGCATCAGCCCCTTTGGGATGGCAAAGCTCATTTCCACTGCAGGCTTCAGTGGTAAAGCCCATCCCACCTGTCCTACATCCCAATGTCTATTCCCCGTTCTAGCATTTTGTTATTGCTCTCCAAGGGGAGATCTTCTTAAAATGGGTTGCTGCAATTTTGGCTCCTAACATCATCCCCAAGAAAGTCTGAGCCTTCCTGACAGCAGATGGAATAGAGTAGGGAGATTAAATATCGGTTAATTGAATAGTCAAGTAACCTCATTAATTCTTATCAGTTAGTCAACTGTTCTATAGTCCACGGGGATGGCAGCCAGTGCTCTCCTGCTCCACTCCCAAGGAGCCCCGACACTCTACACTGCTGCTTCTGTATCAAAGGCAGCAGTGCGGGGTGGCAGGCAGGAGCTGGTCCATGAAGGGAGCCAGTTTAAAAAACAACTTCCCTCATGGACCAGCTGCCTGTCACCCTGTGCTGCTGTCTCTGATATAGAGGCAGCATCATGGGGTGGCAGCAGCCTCTATCTGGAGTGGAGGGTCTGAGCTCCCAGATCTAGTGTAAGGTGGTATCAGAGGCAGGCTGCCTGCCTGTCTAGCTCCTAACACACTTTAAATGCAGAACCACAATGGGGTTAGGTCCTGGACCCAGTGTGAGACAGAACTTAGCCAGGCTGCTGGCCAGCCTGCTAAAATATTTAGTGGAAAGGGGGGAGGGAAAGGCATGTAGTTTATAACATTAACTTATAAGCTTTTGCTTATCGGTTAATAGGTTAATCAACTACACTATTACATCCCTAGAACAAAGAGCAACTAGGCTGCCTGTCACAGTTACATTTGAATGGGATTAAAATAAAAATTGTGAGGGAACCCTACAGAGAGTAATAATAGAAAGATCTTTCAGGTTATATTAACAGTGTTATCCGTACCCTTCATTTGTGCTACTAGCAAGGAGAAGTGCTCACAGGGTAGCTAAATCATTGCAGCTGGGTTCTACAAGACAATCAATCGCAGTTCTCAAAAGCCACCATACCCTGCTATCTTCATTATAGAAAAGAACATGAGACATTTGGGGTGGGGGAGGGAAATGAATGAAGGCCACTTGGTTTCAAGGCTCATCAATTTTCTTCGGAAAATAGTCTTTAACTGTTTTTTCAGTTCCCCGTCTATTTTATTTTTATCCCAACCTCCTTGGCTGATAGGCTATTGCATACATTCATTATTTTCACTGTGGAACAGTGCTGCTAGCTGTGTGCCATGAATTCTCTTTTCTTGAATCTTCTTGGTATGGCCCCTTGGTTTATCATCATTATAGCTGATTAATTTTACTGCTTCTTATCCTTTTACTAGCCAAGAAACCTTCAGCGTCCACTGAAGAACGAGAAGATGCCTGCCTCCCAGTAACCGAAGAGACTCCACAAGCCTTACTTGTTTCTGAATCCACAGATTCCCCACAAAAAGCAATGGAGAGAAACCCAGCACAGCTCTCCAGCCCTCCTTCACTTCCAATTCCGCCACCTAAGGCGATCTCCAAAATCACTAAGAGTGTAACAGGTTAGTCATGTTGGTCAATAAAATCTCTTCCATCCCATTGACACTAAGGCTGCGTCTAGACTGGCAAGTTTTTCTGCAAAAGTGGCTGCTTTTGTGCAAAAACTTGCTAGATGTCTAAACTGGCTGCTTGATTTTGCGCAAAAGCACTGACGTTCTACTGTCCGAAATCAGTGCTTCTTGTGCAAATGCTTTGACGTTCCCGTTTGGGCAAAAGCCCTTTTCCAGAAATGTTTTTGCACAAGAGGGACAGTGTAGACAGCTAAAAACTGTTTTGCTTAAAAAAGCCCCGATGGTGAAAATGGCGATTGGGGCTTTCTTGCACAAAACCATGTCTAGATTGGCACGGACGCTTTTCCGCAAAAAGTGCTTTTGTGGAAAAGCATCCGTACCAATCTAGATGCTCTTTTCCGCAAATGGTTTTAACGGAAAAACTTTTCCTTTAAAAGCATTTGCGGAAAATCATGCCAGTCTAGACGTAGCCTAACAGTTTATACCATCTGCCCAATTCTCACCAATTGCCCCCTATCTAGAAGCACTGAGTCTTTGCATGTTGCATATAGCTGACCTAGCCTGGTTTGTTTATTGCAGGAGTCTGTAGTAAGTCCACTTGCACTCATTCAAATGACACGGACAGCAAAAATCTGCCAATTCAGCAGCTTGTGTATGACTTGCCACAAATCGCTATGGAACACAAGGAAGTTTTAAATGCTTTTTGCATTAGAGAATCACAGTGTGATAACAGTTCAGCAGCAGTGAACACTGTTGTCAACAAACCCTTGAAAGCTTTCTGCCTGAAGGATTTGCTTCTAGATCTAAATTAGATCTGGATCTTTTAAATGACACAGAAAAGTGTGTGAACAGAAACCCACCTTTCACAACACACTACCTCATGTCAGGGTTCACTGAGTTTCAGGTTCAGACCCTCTCAGCCTCATTCTCTAATGTTGCCACCATAGTGATCTTCCACTTTTCTCTGCTTTGGCAGTGTGAAGGAGCTTAGCGTGAATATAAGGGTGATTTATTCTCACCAACTGCTCCTTTATGCTTCCAGAGTGATGAAAAAAGGCTTTGCATATTCAGGGCCTGATTTTCATTTACTGCACCCATAATCAGGCATTTAAACGGTTAAATGACAACTATTATTCTTGTTATCATTCGTGTCCCCAACTTACTGGTACAAAAAAAGAGGCCACATTTGCAGGGTCTCCCTGAAGCAAAAGATCGCAGGATGCTGCTATAATGACTAGGACTGGTTGATATTTTTCTGTCTGAGCTGGTTTTCAGTGGAAATCTGGGTTTTCACCAAGGGTGTGTCTAGACTACAGGGTTTTGTCGACAAAAGTGGACTTTTGTCGACAAAACTATACCTGCGTCCACACTACCGCTGAGTTCTGTCGACGTAGCGTTGACAGAACTCAGCAGTTTTGTTGACGCTGGTAAACCTCATTTCATGAGGCATAACGCCTTCTGTCGACAGAGTTGTTATTGCATGTAAACTGTCCGCATGTAAACTGTCCTTGCGCCTACACTGCCATGTCGACAAAGTAGCTTGCCTTGTTGACAGAACTGAATGTAGTGTAGACGCTCTTTGTCGACAGAAGCTTTGTTGACAGTATTTGTCGACAAAACTTCTGTCGACAAAACCCTGTAGTCTAGACACACCCCAAAATTCTCTCTCCCACTGAAAATGTCTGCTTTTCATGGAAAAATGTTTTTAAAAAACAAAATATAATGATGAAAACAAAAAAAAGTGCATTTTATCAGCAAAAAACTGAAATATTTCAATTCAAAATGGTGGTGTGGTACCTTTTTGGAGGTGTAGTTCACATGCCTTTTCTTCCCCCCTTTCCTCTCTTGGGGCCAGGCTTTCTGTCCAGACTACATTTCTCATGATGCACTTCTTCCCCTTTCTCACATACAGTTCATCATGGGACATGTAGTCCATCCTGAAAACTCTACCCACAAAGGAGAATGACACCCACAGTACAACTCCCATGAGACTCTGCAATGCCATTTTGAATAAAATATTATTGTTCCTAAAATATTTCATTTTTAGGTGAAATATTTCCATTTTTGGCTAAATTTTCTTCAGAAAAACAACCACCTATTTTTCCATCTAGCTCCAAGAAACAAACATCTTCTTCAGAAATAGAGGAGTACAGTTCTGCTTCTGGGAGTGGGTGTAATTATAAGCTCAGGTTGAACAAGTACCATCAGCAAGAGAGGGCAGAAGAGTGGAAGAGGGAGCAAGAGAGAGAGTGATATGAGAGACAAACAGAAGGGGCCACAAAAGCCCTTTATTTTATGTTTTTTTTCTAACTGCATCGAAGGTGCTGATGGTGGAGGAGAGTCCAGGGGAATAAGCTAAGCTCTAATTAATCACAACAAGGGCAGGAGGGAGGGAAATGGCCTGATGCCAAGATACCATTTTGTAGGATTATTCTCTGAAGAGCTTTCATTAGGACAAACAAGATGTGATTAGCAAAACTGTGCTCAACATTAGCCTAAGCTGCATCCAGGCTGAACTGTCCCCCATGAGGCTCCAGGATTGAGACCACATATTGCTGACGGTCAAGTCCCCCAATCCCTCAGGAGA